GGACTCGACTCGATCTTTGAGATCGCGACAGTCGGTCATGTCGTGCCCACAGTCTCAGTGGAATTTGTAGTACTTACTCTATCCTTCTTGGTTGAGTCGCCCCTTAATCGCTCCAACCACTAAAGGAAGCTGTCGATAGGCATTCCGTCGATCCGTGCCAGTATCTGGTGCATCGAAATGCGTGTTGGAGTGTACTTCCCATATCTCGATGGTCGATCCGTCTTGGAGTCAGAGTGGGTTCCACCGGGCTCCTTCTTCACTGAGGCAAAGCGATCCGATGACTTGCCTCAGTCCCATCGGGATGATTCACTCGATTTCTTACTCAAAGACTAGGCCTTGAGTAACTTCTCTCCAGCTATATGCTGGTTAATTCGGGACGTGAGTTCGACCCTGGACTCAGCCAGGTATTCGCTTAACGAACGGAAAAGCTTTCTCTCTTTGATCCCCTGAGAGATTTCCTAGAGGGTTATGCTTTCTTTTTGCAATTAGGTACTCAGAGTCGCTTAGTGGTAAAGTGAGCCACGAACGCCTTCAGGTCTTCGCTAGGCTTCTGTTTGACAGATATGAGATGGGCCTCCGTCTGTCGATTGATGTAGGAGTAATGGAACTAGTCGACGAACTTTCGAGCCAAGTCTTGGTAGGTCTCGACGGAATGCTGAGGGAGGTTTTGGAACCGTTGCCGGGCGGGGCCTATGATAGTTCCTAAGAAACCCCAACACTGCTCGACGTCATTGTACTCGGAATGCTGCATAGCATTGTGGTACGATGTAGATGATCCATGGGATCAACTGACCCATTATATTTGTCGATACGCTGGCCCTTGAATCCCTTGAGGAGTTCGACAGCCATGATGCTGGCTGTGAACAGTTCTTGAGCGATCTTCGAGGGTTCGTATTGAGCTGTAGGTCGACGACTCCCAGCTGCGAGTTCAATTTTTACCTGGTTAAAGATCTCCTTCTTCACCTGGTCTAAGTCTTCCTGGCCGACTCCAGCTTAGGACCCGCTTAGTCGATTAAATGTCTCGGTGCTGGTTTGAGATTCTACGTTGGAGCAGGTCGCTCCGCGTCTAGCTCGAATTCTGTTAAGCTTTTCTCGAAGGTCCTTCGAGCCCTCGGGGAGTCCGAGTGTCACTAAGGGGTCCTCGTTAACATGTCCCTCCCTTGGTAAGGCTTGGAGCTCTCCTTCAGCTACCTCCTTTTCGATCGGGCTTCCATTTGGAGGAGGGAAGGTTCCCCAAGGTCTGGTTGGCCAAGATGACCTTGATTAATCTCTCCATCTGGGAATTTATATGGGTATTGGCGGCCCGTATTCCACTTCGAAACCAAAAGCTTTTGCTATGACGGTGCCTTACCTTTCGCTAGCCGAGGTGGCCAATAGGGTGAAGGGGGTTGACAGCGTCCCGTCCCTCGTCTTGGCAACTAGTCTATCGCATCGATGCTCTTCGTCAACGGAATTCTCATAGGACGACTCCTTATCGGAAGTCATTTTGGTACCGTCTTAGTGCGGAGAATTAGTTTTTGTTTTTGCTTGAAAACGTCGTCCCCACAGACAGTGCCAATTATTGTTGGTGAATCTTGGAGAAGTCCATGTGTCCCTCAAACAAGTAGCTTTGCTGTGAAACAAAAGTGCATACAACCAAAAACTCAACGCCGGTGCAGTGTCCCGCCTAAACACTTCGACACTCAAGTCAGTAATTTAAGTAAGAGATAGGAAATAGATGCCTTAAGTGTTAGCCACACGTTTTTCACTTACTTGGTGAAGGTAAGGGTCCTTCCTTAGTTTTTCTGTTACTTGGTGAAGGTGAGGCTCCTTCCTTATATAGGCTCGGATGGCCGACCAGGAAGGACGACGGTTGGAGATGGCAGGAATGCGTCGCGTGGTACGGTGCCTGTCATGGTTGTACGCTCCCGACAATTGTCTGGCGGTGCCACCGCCTGTAGCTTTGAGGTTTGTCACCTGCCACTGGAAGGCATGCTATCCGTACCGAACCGTGCGTCTCCTGCCACCTCCATGTACGATATATAACCATATGTGGTCTCGTGCCTCCTTGAGACTAGACATGCATCTTGCTCGGCTTTATCCTCAACAATAGTTTATTTTCAATTTATATAGGTAAGATACTTAATTTCAGCGAACAAATATTAAAAATAAAAGAATATACTTGTTCTTTGAATTAGTCATATTCAAAATAATTAAATAAATTGTATTGTATTTTTCAACCTACTAAAATAAAATCTATATTAAAAAAGGTTAAATCAGACCCAATCAAAATTACAAATATAGAGACATGATATTTCCTTTGAATTTGGTTAATTAAAATAATCTAAATATGTATTGTTTTATTTTTAATAGAGTGAATTTAAAACAACTACAAAATGTATTTTATTTTCAAGATAATCAAATTAAAATAACAAAAAAATATAAAAAGAATAAAGTAATTTTATTATTACATAAATAAATTTTAAGATCATGCAATAGAAATAAATGAAATAAACTATAACTCATTTAATTTTTAAAAAAATATTCATATAATAATATAATTTAATATTTAAATTTTAGAATTGACATAAAAAAAATTAATTCAAAATTTAATAGAATCTAATTTTGTTGTTAACTTTAACCATAACTAAAAATAATAATAAAAAAGAATCCAACCGACACAACTCTAGACTTAATAACTCTGCAATTAAACACAACATAGACTTCATAACTCCAAGCTAAGAAACTCTATAACTTGAACACAGATTAAATAACTACAAACTAATTAACTCTCTAGATTTATTACACAAATTTAACAACTCCATGTTTAACCACTCCACCTAAAATGATCCCTTAGTATTTATAAGCCAAAGAAAAATCGAAACCAAATTTTAGGAACAAAGGGTATAAGTTTCTTAAATAATTTCTTTTGACAAATTTTTAAATTATTTATTACTTAATATAATTTCTTTTAGTTGAAGATTTTTTAGGAATATAAGTAATTAATTTAAAATTCAATTCACTGAAAAAAAATCAATTTAAAAAGGATATAGTACCTCCACTTAATTAGTTTTTGTGTGTAAGATCTGTTTAATTTTTAAATTGTAAATAAATACAAATCTAGAGTGTCCTATATTTTTCTCTTCCTCTGTTTAATATTTTTTGACGGTCTGTTAGTTTAATATTTTTCGGACATATTCTTTTGTTTAATATTGACTTTGAAATATTAAAACGTTAGAGAAACATATTACCAGAAAAATTCAAATATTTGACTTTTTTAAATTACATCCATTTTTAAAGGTTTCTTTTTGGAAATTTCCTGTTCTTAGTCACTAATAATATTGTACAAAATCATTGTCCATATTTCAATTAATTTCAAATAATAATAATAATAATGAAATAAAACCAATAGACCAATATGAAAGTAGTCTGCCAGATATTTTATAGGAAAATATATGCGGTATACTCCATTTTTTTTATATTTTAATTCTATTTTTTTAATACAAACATGTGGGGTGGAGATTCAAACTTATTAACTTTTGGTCGGAGATATGTACCTTAACCCATTGAATTTTGCTCACATTAACTGCATTTTAATTTTAATAAAATATTGATAATACTTATTTTTAGGAAAAAAATACAAAAATCAATAATACTCTCTGAACTATCACTTAAATAATCATTGTCAATATTTTAATTTATTAAAACATTGATAATAATTATTTTATGGAAAAATACTATTCCACTTTGAGAGTAAGTTTAATCTTGCACACTTTCATTAATCTAGAACGCTTTCATTAAATTAAATAGACCACTTAACCAAGAAGTTACAAGACTATGGTTACAAGAGTAATCTAAACAAACTAATATGGTTACAAAAGTAATCTAAACTGACTAACTAAAAGCTAATACTCCTAATACTCCCCCTCCACATGGAGATTGAATGTTAGAAACTCCCATCTTGGATAACAATAGGGAAACGAATCAGAGGGCAAAACCTTAGTAAAAATGTCAGCTAACTGAAGACGGGAACGTATAGGAAAAAGCCGAATAAAGTAAGCTTGTCACGAATGAAATGACAATTCAGCTCAATGTATTTCGTACGCTCATGAAATGATGGATTGCAAGTAATGTGTATAGCAGCGTGATTCTCACAAAAAAATAAGTGCAAGCGATTGAAAAGAAACATGTAAATCTTGTAAAAGGTGAGTAAGCCAAATAATCTCACTGGTAGTAACAGCAAGAGCACGATATTCAGCTTCGCCCGAGGAGCGAGAAACAGTAGTTTGTTTCTTAGCCCTCGAGGAAATAAGAGATTGTCCTAGAAAAAATACAAAATCCAATAGTAGACTTCCGAGTGTCAAGACACAAAGCCCAATCTACATTAGAAAATGCAATAAGTTGAAGAAAAGATTTAGATAATCAAATGCCCTGTCCAATAGATCCCTTTAAGTAACGAATAAGATGATGAACAACCTGAATATGAGGTCGTCGAGGCTAAGCCACAAATTGACTGAGTTTATGAACAATAAAAGCAATACCAGGCCGTGAGATCGTAAGATACAATAAGCGACCAATAAGGTGTCGATACATAGTGGGATCTTCCAAAAGAGTACCAACAGAAGCACAAAACTTGGGAACATAGAAGGCTTACATGTAAGAAATCTAGTGTCTTCAAGAATCTGAAGAGCATAATTGCACCGAGAGAGAAAAATACTCGTAGAAGTACGAGCTAGCTCAAGTCTAAAAAATAACGTAGCTGTCCCAAATCTTTGAGTTTAAAAAGACCATGGAGATGAACTTTCAAGGCATCAATCAAAGAGGAAGATGCACCAGTAATGATAATATCATCGACGTAGACAAGAAGGGCAAGAAAGCTATCACCAGAACTTCTTATAAATAGAGAATAATCAGACTTAGTTTGCTTAAAACAAAGGAGTAATAAAGCATGTGAAAACTTGTCAAATCACTAACGAGATGCTTGTTTGAGTCCATAAATGGACTTATGAAGTCGACAAACCAAACGCTCCCCATTAAAAGCAACCTTGTCATGATCATATCCCAAAGGCAAATTCATATACACCTCCTCAAACAAATCCTCATGCAAAAAAGCATTATTTACATCCAGTTGTACTAAAGGCCAATTATATGAAATGACAAGATGAAGTAAGACCTTGACAGTAACTAATTTAGCAATAGGTGAGAAAGTTTTAATATAATCAAGGCCTTCTTGCTGAGTATAACCCTTAGCTTCTTGATCTTGTAAACCCATTCGCATCCAATTGAATGGTGATTGAAAGGCAAAGGCACTATGAATCAAGTATTATTAGCTTCCATGGCATCCAATTCAGCACGCATTGCATCCCGCCAATGAGAGTGAGGAACCGCCTAATGGTAATATGTTGGTTCATAATGGGCTGAAACATTCATACAAAATGACGATACCCAAATGACAAGGAAGCATATGACAAATAATTTCACAATGGATATCTCAAGGAAGTATAAGGTAATGAAGAAGACTGGAGAAGGTTGCAGTGATAATCTTGAAAGCAAGATGGTTTCTAAATAGAACGAGAAGACTGTCGGAGAGCAGTTAATGCCAAATTTCCAGTGTTAACGACAGGCAAAATCAAATGGTCATTAGCAGCAAAAGAATCAACATTACTATTATTTGGCTCAGTAGAATGATAAGAATCAGCAAAAATACCATCAGAAACCAAGGCATTAGGAGAACTAGTAGATATATCATCACATAAATCAGTATGTAAAGCATCCGAAGACAATGCAGAGGACAAACCATCATTAACCGCATAAGAAGAACAAGCAGTGGTCATGGGCAATCGAAAATAATAAAAAGATTTGGCAAGACAATGTCTGGAAAAGGATCAACAACAACATTTTCCAGAGAAATATTGTGAAATGGGAAAATATGCTCATGAAAAATATCACGTGAAATGAAAATCTGCCCCTTCTCAATATCATAAAGGTGATACCCTTTCATGCCAGGTGGATAACCAAGAAAAATAAAAGCAATTTCTCGTGGATGAAACTAAGAACGTTGTGGCAGTTAATGTGGATGCAAAACAGAGACAGCCAAATATACGTAGATAAGAATAATCAGCAAGATGTCCATGTAAGCGTTCAAAAGAGGTATACCATTCCAAAACAGGAGAAGGACAACGATTAATCAGAAAAGAGGCAGTAATGACACATCTCCCTAAAATTTAATAGGTATCCGAAACTAAAAATATAAGGACCTAGCCACATTCAATAAATACTGATGTTTTCTTTCCACTACAGAATTCTATTCCGATCGATCCACACAAGAATATTGATGAATTACCCCTTTGGCATGAAAAAAATTAGTAAAAGCTAATTCTGGGACATTATTCGAACGAAATTGTTTAATGTCTTTACCAAATTGAATTTTAACCAGTTGGAATAAACGAGTAACAATAGGTAAAGTATCACATGTATGGTGCATCAGATATATCCAAGTATAATGCGAAAAATCATCTACAATTGTGAGAAAATATCGAAATTTAGCATGTGTAGGGGCTTGATAAGGTCCCCAAATATCACAATGTACTAAATCAAATGAACTATTTGCAATGTTATTGTGAGAAACAAATGACAACTTCTTTTGTTTAGCTAGAGGACTAACTAAACAAGGATCAGCAGTTACAGACTTGTTTGAAAATTGTAAGTCTGATTATAAAGCTAACAGATGCTTATTTGATGGGTGTCCGAGCCTAGCATACCAAGTATGAATGGTAGACATACTAAAAACAGTACAAACTGAATCAAAAGAACCAACAAGAACATATAAGCCTTTCCAAAGACTACCATTGCCAATCGTCTTCGACGAAAACTTGTCCTGGAGAATAAAAAGGGAGAGAAATCTCACCCATTTTCAGGAGAAGAGCTGATAACAGAGAGGAGCTTCTACGGCTATCGCGCGCTAGTGTCTCCATCTGTGTTTCTTATCTCTTTCTCTAAATTGGGTTGTAACTTTTCTTTGCCCATTTCGTTTTCTTTTTCTCCCATGAGCTAAACCTCATCTTGGGGGAGATTTAAACATTGTAACTATTGAACAACTAACACTCTAGCTATTTTCTTCTTGCTATTTTATACAGCTGCGAGTATTTTCCTTCATGTTACTAAACATTGTTGGCCACCTTGTTTAGTATGCTAGCTTCTGAATGACCCGGAAGGGCTTATAGTTAGTTGACTTACTTTATTTGTGATTAGCTACTTTTTTTAGTAGGTTCGTGGATACTCAGGAATGGGATCCCCTAGTCATGCTTAAAACTTGTGTTTATTGCTTGGTTATCTAGCAACAGGAGTTGTGGGTATTCATGTTTGGGTATCTCGAAAGGGAACCATGTCGAGTTAAGCAATAGCGAGTAACTTCATGCTAGAGTAGAGGTTAGGATTTAGCACCTTTTCCTGTCGTCAGCTCTCTCCCCGAAAATGGATAGATTCCTCCTCCTTGTCGTTTCAGCTCTCAAACGTGTGTCTCTATTGGGATCTGTGTGTGACTGCTAGGGCAAAATGTCCCTTTCTTATCGTGTCCCGTTTTTAGGGCAACCAGCTGAAAACTGTATGGGCATGGTAAATTCCTGTGTCTGGGCTGTTAATTGTGTTGTAAATCCATGCTCCAGCGTTGCTTCGCTACAGCTTTCGTCTACTCTGTCTTGAACATGCTTTTTCTACTCTTCTCTAGGCTTAGCACCCTATTCATGCTTATCTTTTTTTTCCAAGCCTGCGCATTTAAGCCAAAAATAAGAGAGTTTAGTACAATTTTTAGCCAAAGCATTCAAGACCTGGGACTTTAGCTCGAAGTTCGGTTTATAAGATTTTTTCGTGCTGCTTAAGTGTGACGCCCCCAAAATTTCACTACTTAACAAGATGACGTAACTATATTACCTATTCACTCCCCCCCCCCTTCCATTAAGGCAACATAAAGTGTAATGCCCTCGAAAATACATCCTGAAATATCGAAATAATACGATCATTCCCCTGTTCCTTCACCCTTCAATACAAAGACGTGAAACAGTTACCTTAAAGATAATCAGTTACTGACAACACAATCAATTCCTACAAGTTCGTGTCCGCCTTAGTGGCTAGCAATCCCACAAAAAATAAAAGAAAAACAATCATTTAGTCCAGTAATCCAGAGTGCATCAGTGGCTCAAATACTAACAATAATCGGAAGACATTAGTTCGCCTAATAAGAATGAATAAAGAGAAAGAAAATGTTCCGTGAGTCAACCCAATGTCTAGTACACCTCTAACTATAAGTTTTTCACGCTACTCGCAATGAACGACAGTTTCCACCATCCTAGCCAACACAACTAGTGATCCCTCCTCGGTCAAGCCTCTTCCACGTCATCACCACGGTTAGGGGCCCTGTTCGCACCTGAAACAATTAAGGTAGGAGGGGTGAGTATATAAAATACTTCGTAAGTAGCCCTCCCTAACTAATCACAACAGAATGCTCGTAATCAGAACAACATCAAACACAATAGCAAAACAAACCACCAGGCAACAAGAGATGATAACAGTAGATTAACATTACCATATAAGCATCCAAACACCCAAACTTCCAGGACTTCGACTACACGACCCACTAACCTGTGACCCACTCGAGCTAAAATTTGTTCTACCTTTTACCTTAGTACTCCAAGTCTAACTCTTCGGGTGTATCGGCCCTTGACATTTATCCCCCAAGATACCGACCTCCCTCTAAAAAGCTTGGCTTTCGACCTTGCCATTTATCCCCAAGGCCTTGAACTGCGCACCAGTCCTTGACATTTATCCCCAAGGTACCGATGACTACTCGGCGTATTGGTTCTTGAAATTTATCCCCAAGACCCCAATACTCCTCTACAGAACTTGATATTCGGCCTTGTCGTTTATCCCCAAGGTACCGATGGCTACCAGCGTATTGGTCCTTGACATTTATCCCCAAGGCCCCAATACTCCTTTATAGAAAACTTGGTGTCCGGCCTTGTCATTTATCCCCAAGGTCTTCTACCCCCGGAGCCTTAACATCCGGTAGGGACTATTGCCCACGAGGCCACAACACCGATACATCCACTTTCATTACAAGGTAAACCATGCATTCGCAACATCGTCATTCGCTAAAACTTTACCACATAACCCTCAAATCATCCTCTACAAGGCCTTGTGTATTCCAAAGACTAGCATGCGTTTTCACTTCCGACAACCCACATGATAACAACAGTTAACTAGCCCCCATCACTCTAGTCAACTCCCACTAACCCTTCCAAGACAACTTGAAAGTCACCCACATTCCAAGTCACAACACAATTGTTCAGCATACTTTTAGATGTACGAAAGGAAACACTACCCAACAGCTTCCAACTAAACAACATAAAACTAAATAACATACAATGAGCATATGTATTTCGAAAGTCACCACATTCCAAGTCACAACACAATTGTTCAGCATACTTTTAGACGTACGAAAGAAAACACAACCCAACATGTTTCCAAATGTCATAGATCAAATTCTCCCAACCATAATAATCAGAACTGACCAGTCACATTCAATGACAAGTAACCATGCATGCTCATAATGTCTAACAATAGAATTAGTGACATGTAACTCAACAACAATAACTAGGCGTTCACAAAAACCAAAACTAACAATTTCTATACACACGAAGTAAACTATTCTAACAAAATCAGCACAAAACCATTCCATTAACATTCAATAACGCACGCACTCGCCCCCTAGTGCTACTTACACACTATTATGCTCCTAGGTCATATGTCAATTCAACACCTAATCAACAATAGACAAATAGAAATAATTAACACAAAATTTCCAGCCAACGAAATTCAATATAAGGGATCTTGCAACGTCCGTTACCGTAAAAATCGCCTTCGTCTAGGTGCAGGTAACTCCGGCCTAACTCGAATAAATGTGGGTTGAGTAAAACGAGCTTCTAATGGTTATGGGTA